ATGATTCCACATGAGTTCCATCTTTCCTGGCCCAGTGGTTCTTGAGAAGAAGATTTTTAAAGATTTTTCCTATATATTCCTATGTAAAACTTGGGTCGGCCATTTTGGCCCCACCCTAGCCCTGGGGGTCATGATTTGAGCAAACTTGAATCTGCATTACCTGAGGATGATTCCACATGAGTTTCATCTTTCCTGGCCCAGTGGTTCTGGAGAAGAAGATTTTTAAAGATTTTTCCTATATATTCCTATGTAAAACTTGGGTCGGCCATTTTGGCCCCACCCTAGCCCCGGGGGGTCATGATTTGAACAAACTTGAATCTACACTACCTGAGGATGATTCCACATGAGTTTCATCTTTCCTGGCCCAGTGGTTCTTGAGAAGAAGATTTTTAAAGATTTTTCCTATATATTCCTATGTAAAACTTGGGTCGGCCATTTTGGCCCCACCCTAGCCCCGGGGGGTCATGATTTGAACAAACTTGAATCTACACTACCTGAGGATGATTCCACATGAGTTTCATCTTTCCTGGCCCAGTGGTTCTTAAGAAGAAGATTTTTTAAAAATGCCATTAATTTTTCTATAATTCATAATTATCTCCCCTTGGAAAAGGGCGTGGCCCTTCATTTGAACAAACTTGAATCCCCTTTACCCAAGGATACTTTGTGGCAAGTTTGGTTGAAATTGGCCCAGCGGTTCTTGAGAAGAAGTCGAAAATGTGAAAAGTTTACAGACAGACGGACAGACAGACAGATGGACGCCGGACAAAATGTGATCAGAAAAGCTCACTTGAGCCTTCGGCTCAGGTGAGCTAAAAACCTTACATAAAGAAATTATTAGAATCCGAACCCCGAATATAGATTTATTTTTTCTCTCGAAGAAATGCTTTGCCAGTTACCTTAGAAGATACAGCAGTGATAATTTTTCGCATCGTTTCTCGGTCATATATACAATGTAAGAATACTACAAAAACCCCATTTCTGGCCATTATGCACACGTCAATACAATAAATAGATAAATAAAATCCCCCCTTTCTTTATAAATTTTAAATAATTGATCTGTAGATGTTTGAAAATATTTTCGCCGCAACTAAATGAAAAGAGCGTTGTTTCTCCTACTCATTTAGTTATATTATGTCCATAAATAGGATTATAAACTAACTGCAAGAAGTAGTAATTCGCCATTGGAATTTGCTCTCGGTTCATTTTAAAATCAGAATTTTTCCGTTTATTAGTGTTTTGTGCAATGATTTTATGAAAACGTCCAGAGTGTGTGTTGAGTCTGCTCAATGAAAAAGGTAGGATAACGAACAGTGATCTAGCACTGAAAACTACAAACAATATAACTCTGTGGACAGGTATAAAACACGGACCCCTGGCAATTACAGAAGTAGGATCAGTTGCCTAGAAGGAATAAACATCCCTCAAAATAGGATTCTTTAGGTCCTGAAACAAGGAAAATGATATTTTACACGTACTTTACCCTAGTCACCAAAAAAGCTCAGAATATCTTTACCCTAATCAAAAATTTACTTTACCCTAATCATGCTCAAATTTTGTATTGGCAATCTGGCTTTAATCAGCCAATGTCATGCCGCCTTTTGCGATAGTTGTGTTCTTCTGTACGAAATAATTCAATTTTAACAACAAAATTTATGATAAAAGTCTGTATAATGCTGAAACTACGTGCAAAATGATCGAATCGTGTTTGCTAGACGCCATCTTGGACTAGGGTAACGCACTTTACCCTAGTCCGTTTCTACACAGTGATTAGGCTACTTGCGTTTTACTGTGTAAAACGCAAGAGGAGTTCAGGGAACTAGGGGCTTTTTGCATTTAAAACATTTCTGACCCCATTTGACCCTAAGGGTGAAATAGAACATTCTGAAACCTTACTACACATCCACATGACACCATCAACCAACTCCCAAAAGTTGATTTATAGGCTACTGTGTTAAATGTAAAAGTATTTGAGGAAGCCAATCAATTGATCATCGTCATAAAATCAAACAATCTGCCAGTTATTCCTTATATTTACATGGTATTGATTTTGCCAATCCATGTGCTAGACGCCCCGCTTCTTGTCTCTATTCTATTTGCCCCGCCCTGCACTTGATTTTTTTTTAACCTAGCTTATCGATGAAACAGAACATTGATGAAGAAATAAAGTACATTACCTATTTGTAATTTCATCTCAAACTAGTGCTAATTGTAACAGGGACCGTTACAGATGTTCCCCAAACGCTCCCCAACTCCCTTTTATAGTCATATCCCCTGTAAGCGTAATTAAATAGGACAAACTTTATGCATTTGAGACTTTAACAACGTTTACCCAAAAGTGTACCATGTTCATTTAAATTTTATCATTGCACACTTGCGCATGTGAATGCGTGTGCGTAATGACCATATCATATTGTCTACACAATCTATATATTTAAATATGCTAAATATTAAAAGTATTTAATCCAAAAGTACAAAAAAAAAACCGCTCCTTCAAGTGCATTATTGATTTAACCCATTTCACGTGCACGCACGTGCATACATGAGCATGGTAACCATACTTTCTTGTAGAAGTCCATTACATCTATCTATGTTCTAAATCCCACCCCGTTTGGTTGAAAACCAAGGGAGTGATAGCTGTGTAAAGTTCAGCCAATCAGATTGCAGCGCACGTACTTGCACGTGTATGCATGTGCATGGTGACCAAACCTTTTTGTAGAAGTCCATTATATATATATCTATGTTCCAAATCCCAACCTGTTTGGTTGAAAACCAAGGGAGTGATAGCTGTTTAAAGTTTCAGCCAATCAGATTGCAGCACACGTACTTGCACGTGTATGCATGTGCATGGTGACCAAATCTTCTTGTAGAAGTCCATTATATATATCTATGTTCCAAATCCCAACCTGTTTGGTTGAAAACCAAGGGAGTTATAGCTGTTTAAAGTTTCAGCCAATCAGATTGCAGTAGTCGTACACGCACGTGCATGCATGTGCATGGTGACCACACCTTCTTGTAGAAGTCCATTATATATATCTATGTTCCAAATCCCATCCTGTTTGGTTGAAAACCAAGGGAGTTAAAGCTATTTAAAATTTCAGCCAATCAGATTGCATCGCACGTGCAAGCACGTGTTTTCATGATAATTGCTATATATCATGTTGTAGGATATCCTAATGCATGGCTATGTTCAAAATTTCAAAGGATTTCGTCAAAAAACAAGAAAGACATTGATACTTTAGTTTCAGCCAATCAGAGCGTAGCGCACGTGCATGCGCATGAGATCTTGCCATATTGACCACGACATCTTGTTTATACTACTAATATATCCTTACATCATGAGTTTCAAAACATTTCATCAAAAAATAGAAAAGTTACGGCAGTAAACATTATATTTGTCATTTCACGTGTCGCACGTGCGCGCTCTTGCAAGCACGTGCGCGCAAAATGACCTTCGTTCGGCAACTCTACATAACATGCCTACTGACCCTAAAAAGGTTTCACCTAAGTCGGATGTATAGTTTACAAGATCACTCGTGGACAAAATTTTCCCAGGAAGAAGAAAAATAATAATAATAATAAGAAACAGAGTAAAAACAATATGTTCCCCAACTTCGTTTGGGGAACATAACAAAGGCATTGGAAATGTAAATATTATGCCATAAAGATAATAACTTATATTCAGACACTTACAGAGCACATTGACAATCATGGACTGACTGCTTGATCCCGTGCCTCCAATGCTGTAACTGTTTTGTGCTGTACACGTGTAGGTATCAGCACTGCCTCTCTGTATGTTCTGTATCAGTAGTACAACACCATTTTGTCTAAATCCAGAGTCACCTGTCTTGGTCCAGTAGATAGTGGTTTGGGCAGGATTTCCATCGGTGATAAAACATGTGACAGATAGATCATCTCCTTCTATAATGTCTTTATTTGTCAAATTGGACACAGTTGGAGGATCTACACACAATGATGAAAATAGAGGTAAAATTTTCTTAATCTGATCCTCCTACTATGCATCAATATTTTAAGATTAATTTGAACTCTTAGAAAATTATTATGACAATGCAACAAATTAAATGGATATAAATCTTTTTTTCTTTTATTCTTTTTTTTTAATTCTTTTATTTTATATTATAATAAATTATTTATAAACAATGGCATACACATACATGTAACTGTTTTTAGAAATATTTAACTAGTCATTGCTGATATCAGAAATATGTTGCAGCCATTATTCTCACATCAATAACAAGAGGCCTATGGGTTACATCGCTCACCTGAGAAGCTTTGATCATGCTATTTTTAACCAGATTTTTCCCTCGTGACCTATTGTGACCCATCGTACCCAACATTGGCGTCGGAAGCAAATTGAAAGTGGGGGGGCTAAGTGTAAGAAATTTTTTTTTTCTACCTCCAAAAAACCTGACAAGCAAAAAAAAAAAAAAAAAAAAAAAAATGAATGTACATTTCCCAAAAACGAAAATACTATTTCGTGGGGGGGGGGGGGGGGGTAGGTTCGAACTCCAGTACCAAAAATTTTCTTCCAAACACCAACACTTTTCCCAATTTTAACCTATACTAAGACGTATCTGTGGAAAGTGGGGGGGCTAAACTTACGAAGATATGTTCAATGTCTATACTAAGTATATATTTGGAAAAAAAGTGGGGGGGCTTAGCACCCCCTAGCCCCCCCCCCCGGTTCCGACGCCTATGCCCAACAGGTCATAATTTGGACAATTTGAAATGTACACAATCCCAGGATGCTTCCACATAAATTTCAGCCATTCTGGTCCAGTGGTTCTAAGTGAGAAGGAGAATTTTAAAGTTTTTATCCTAAATATTTCGATGTTAAACTTTGATTCCCTATTGTGGCCCCGCCAATCTCCCAGGAGCCATGATTTGAATAATATAGAATCTACACTACCCCAGGATTCTTCCACATAAGTTTCAGCTTTCCTGGCCCAGTGGGTCTTGAGAAGGTTTTAAAATGTTTTTCCTATATATTTCTTTCTAAATATCTGATTCCCTATTGCGGCTCCACCCAACACCGAGGGGCCATGATTTGAAAATTCAGAATCTACATTACATAAGGATGCTTCTACATAAGTTTCAGTTTTTCTGGCTAAGTAGTTCTTGAGAAGAAGACTTTTAAAGTTTTTTCCCTACATATTTCATTATGTAAAACTTCAATTCCCTATTGTGGCCCTGCCCAACCCCGGGGGTCATGATTTGAATAATTAACAATCTACACAACCCCGGGATACTTCCAAATAAGTTTCAGTTTTTCTGGCCCAGTGGGTCTAGAGAAGAAGATTTTTTCACATATATTTCTTTGTAAAACTTTGATTCCGTATTGTGGCCCACCCCACCCCTTGGGGCCATGATTTGAACAATTTAAAATCTACACTACCCTAGGATGCTTCCACATATTAAGTTTCAGTTTTTATAGCCCAGTGGTTCTTGAGAAGCACATTTTTAAAGATTTTACCTATATATTTCTTTGTAAAACTTTGATTCCCTATTGTAGCCCCGCCCAACCCCCGGAGTTCATGATTTGAACAATTAAGAATCTACACTACCCCAGGATGCTTTCACATAAGTTTAAGCTTTTCTAGCCCCGTGGGTCTTGAGAAGAAGATGATGACCCCAACTTATTTTTCTTATTTCTTGATTATCTCCCCTTGTTAGAGGACCTGGCCCTTAATTTTAACAATTTAAATTCCCCTTCGCCCAAGAATGCTTTGTACCATGTTTGGTGTAAATTGGCACAGTGGTTTCAAAAATGTTAAAAGTTTACAGATGGACAAACAGCTATAGTCAGCTAGACAGATAGACGGACGGACAAAATGTGATCAGAAAGCTCACTTGAGCATTCGGCTTAGGTGAGCTAAAATATGATGAAACATTTCATACATTACAATGATTACATATCATGTACATACCCAGTGTTTGAAACTCGCTGTAAAATTAGCTAGACATGCAGGGCTGATTGCTTGTGCAAGTTGTCAGCCCTGCCAAAAATGTACTATCTCGATAAAATATTATATTGTAATATAAGTTGGTTTAAGCAATAACGTGAATGGGGCCAGCTCACTATATATTGGATTACTTGATATCGCGATTACTTAACTTAGCAGAACTCTTTCGCGATGGAGGTAGGAAACGTCTGTTAGATGGGGGCAAATGTGCTATTTAAATTTTAATACAATGCAAGATCGATCATTATAGAGTTTATAAGGACATTGTCAAATAAGTAAAAAAAATCCTGGTGGAAGGGTAGCTAAACAATCAATGACCCAGCCTAATTAATTTTTCAGAGAAGCTAATCCTAAAATGTTACATTTTACGATATTTTTAACTATGCGGGCTCTTCTCATTAAGTATTTATTGAAAATCATCACATTGTAAAGCTGATAAAATTCTCTACACTTTCCTTATTTGACAATCTATTATTTGGAGTTCAATTCTTGGAATACATTGAACTTTCGGCTTAAAATTGTTCGAATCATTCGATTGTCACTACTGTAAACAATGCCATGTGTCCCAGTAATCTCACAAGATTTAGAGCTTTCTCGACTCCCCCACAAAAGAGCGGTAGTAAGTTAGATAACTGCGAGGTGCTTGCGATATTACGATATTACTACTTGTTACTCTTTGAAGCTAGTAATATTAGTTGATTTGAGAGAGGTTTATCAAATTTTAATTTATAGAAAAATTTTACACGTCCAGCCGGGCGTCAATACATGCAAATCTGTTTGCCCGCGACAAAATCTGTGCTCTCTGGCGGTCAGGCGCATGGTTATTTTAAACACTGATGACATACCAAATTTGAAAAAGAGAAATGAAAATAAACATAGTTCGTGATCTTGATACACTTGGTTATTTGTCATGCTGTCTGCATATTGCCATAACTGCCTTAGCTTTTACATTTCAAAATTTATCAACCACAGAGGTTATTCTGCAACATCAAAAAAACAAATTCACATAATTAATTCAGAAAATGAATATTAAACTCACATTCGACATTGATGATCATGGACTGCTTGCTCTGTCCTTTGTTTCCCGATGAGTACTGATTTTCTGCTGTGCATGTATAGTTACCAGAACTACTGCTTTGTATTTTTGTCAGATTAAGTACATCTCCTTCCTGTCTGAAAGAACTGCCCTGTCGTGCCCAGTACACATTGGTCTCTGATGGCTGTCCTTTATCATAAAGGCATTTTTTGTTGAAGTCTGTTCCCTCTATGGCTGTTGTATTATTTAAAGTGTGAACAGTTGGAGGACCTGAAAAAGTTTCATACTCAGGCTGTAGAATACAATGGAGATGAGAGGCCAACAGGCCATATAGGGCCGCTGCCAGTGAGTATTGTGTAACAATTTTTCAACAATTGAATTTGGTTTGTTCTTTTTAAAACCAAAAGCCATGTTATTATGTTCCCCAAACGAAGTTGGGGAACATATTGTTTTTACTCTGTTTCTTATAATTATTATTAAGGTCTTCCGTCTTCACGGAAAACCTTCTAGTGATTCTGCTGTTTATTAAGGTCTTCCGTTTCAGACAGAAGACCTTATAGTGATTGTACTGTTTCTTTTTATTATTACGTCTTTCCACCTTTCTGTGGAAAGACCTCTTGAAATGCTTCTGTTTTTTATTAGGTCTTTCCACCTTTCTGTGGAAAGACCTCTTGAAATGCTTATGTTTTTAGGTCTTTCCACCTTTCTGTGGAAAGACCTATTGATTTTCTTCTGTTTTTTTTTTTATTTTTTATTATTTTTCCGCCGTGTGATTTTGAGTTTCAAGATTTATCGAAAAGATTTTAAGTTCATAAGAATGTACTCCGTAAAAGATTTTTGCAGTTGACCCTGCGTATATGAACTATGACCTTTTTCAGAGTTATTACCCCTTTCGCAAAAAAGCTTGTTATCGCTACTCCTCCGAAACCGTAATCCGTAGGGAAATGAAACCTTCACTAATGTCTTCGACTTATTTAGTAGACACTTCATTGGTTCATTGCGAAAGTATTCGTTGACCCCTTCAATGAGTTATAGCCCCTGGAAGTTTTTGAATTTTACAAATAATTAAAAATTTTCAAAACGAGACGTTGTAGAGACATGGGACTAACTGCATAAGATTCACTGACCTTTGGTCTTGAAATTTATAGAAAGGTCAAAGGTCAAGGTCATTCCAAAACTGAGAAATTAAGCTCTTTTTATATCTCTTTTGTCTTTCAACCTATACTTTATGTCTTTAAATCATTAATATGTACTCTTAAAACTATTTCAAATATTACATTCATGTTCCTTAAGATTAACCCTTTCAAAAGTTATTGCCCCTTGTGCAAAAAACCTTGTTATCGCTACTCCTCCTAAACCAAAGACCGTAGAGACATCAAACCTTCATTAATGTCTTAAGGGTCTTTAGGCCTAACTTCATTGTTTAAGTGCGAAAGGATCTGATGACCCCTTATATGAGTTATTGCCCTTTAACTTCTTTGTACTTACTATTAAACATTATAACTTGAAAACTATAAGTCATAGAGGCATGGGGTCAATTGCATTGTGACCCTTGACCTTTGACCTTGAATATTTTTCAAGGTCAAAGGTCAAGGTCATTCCAATTTTTTTTTTTAAATTTTCATTTTATTTATGATTTAAGACAATTTTGGTTTCTCTTTCACGGAATTTAATTTTAAGGAGTCAGATATAAAATAAATTTGAAATTCAAAGAAGGTGGAAAGACCTCTTATTGTTCTGTGAACAATAAGTCTCCTAGTTTATTTTATTTCTCACCTTATGTTTTGACACCGTAAGACTTATCGAAAAACTTTATAGTTCATGATACTGGATATTTAAAGTTATTCCGAAAAATGACCCCCCATGATTTAACTTAGGCCCCTTATGCAGTTTTTGTCCCTTTCACCATAAAGCTTGTTATCGCTACTCCTCTGAAACCGTAAATCGTCGAGATGCAGAACCTTCACTAGCGTCTTCAACTAATTTAGGAGACTTTTCAATCTATTCATTGCAAAAGTTTTCTTTGACCCCTTCAATGGGTAACTGCCCCTGAAAGTTTATAAATTTTGTAAAAAAAATAAAAATTCTCAAAAGGAGAAGTCGTAGAGACATGAAACCAACTGCATAAGTTTATTGACCTTTGAACTTTAAATTCATTTCAAGGTCAAAGGTCAAGGTCATTCCAAATATGAAATTTAATTTTTTTTTAATAGCTCTTACATCCTTGAACATATACATTCATCTTCTGTCTGTGATATGCACTCTTAATACTCTTTCAAAGATTTCAGTCTTGTCCCCTAAGATTGACCCTTTTAAAAGTTATTGCCCCTTGTGCAAAAAACCTTGTTATCGCTACTCCTCGGAAACCGTAGACCATAGAGACACCAAATCTTCACTAATGTCTTAAGGGTCTTCAGGCCTTACTTCATTGTATAAGTGCCAAAGGATCTGATGACCCCTTATATGAATTATTGCCCTTTAACGTCTTTGTACTTGCTATTAAACCTTATAACTTCAAAAGTATAAGTCATAGAGGCATGGGGTCAATTGCATTGTGACCTTTGACCATTGACCTTGAATTTTTTTAAAGGTCAAAGGTCAAGGTCATTTCAATTTTTTTTTTTTTTTCATTTTTTTAAAATTTATCCTTTTAGGACAATTTTGTTTGCTTTATTCATGTAATTTAATTTTAAGGAGTCAGATAAAACGAAATTAAACTTCAAATAAGGTGGAAAGACCTCTTATGGTTCTTTGAACAATAAGTCTCCTAGTTATTTTATTTCTCACCTTATGTTTTGACACCGTAAGACTTATCGAAAATCTGTATAGTTCATGAGACTGGATATTTAAAGTTATTCCGAAAAATGACCCCCCATGTTTTAACTTAGACCCCTTATGCAGTTATTGCCCCTTTCACCGTAAAGCTTGTTATCACTACTTCTTTGAAACCGTAAATCGTAGAGATGCAGAACCTTCACTAACGTCTTCAACTTATTTAGGAGACTTTTCAATCTATTTATTGCAAAAGTTTTCTTTGACCCCTTCAATGAGTAACTGCCCCTGAAAGTTTATAAATTTTATAAAAAACTTAAAATTTTCAAAACGAGAAGTCGTAGAGACATGAATCCAACTGCATAAATTTTATTGACCTTTGACCTTTAAATTCATTTCAAGGTCAAAGGTCAAGGTCATTCCAAATATGAGAAATAAATTTCTTTTAATAGCTCTTACATCCTTAAACATATACAATATATCTTCTGTCTGTGATATGCACTCTTAATACTCTTTCAAAGATTTCAGTCTTGTCCCCTAAGATTGACCCTTTTAAAAGTTATTGCCCCTTGTGCAAAAAACCTTGTTATCGCTACTCCTCGGAAACCGTAGACCATAGAGACACCAAATCTTCACTAATGTCTTAAGGGTCTTCAGGCCTTACTTCATTGTATAAGTGCCAAAGGATCTGATGACCCCTTATATGAATTATTGCCCTTTAACGTCTTTGTACTTGCTATTAAACCTTATAACTTCAAAAGTATAAGTCATAGAGGCATGGGGTCAATTGCATTGTGACCATTGACCATTGACCTTGAATTTTTTTAAAGGTCAAAGGTCAAGGTCATTTCAATTTTTTTTTTTTTCATTTTTTTAAAATTTATCCTTTTAGGACAATTTTGTTTGCTTTATTCATGTAATTTAATTTTAAGGAGTCAGATAAAACGAAATTAAACTTCAAAGAAGGTGGAAAGACCTCTTATGGTTCTTTGAACAATAAGTCTCCTAGTTATTTTATTTCTCACCTTATGTTTTGACACCGTAAGACTTATCGAAAATCTTTATAGTTCATGATATTGGATATTTAAAGTTATTCCGAAAAATGACCCCCCATGTTTTAACTTAGACCCCTTATGCAGTTATTGCCCCTTTCACCGTAAAGCTTGTTATCACTACTTCTTTGAAACCGTAAATCGTAGAGATGCAGAACCTTCACTAACGTCTTCAACTAATTTAGGAGACTTTTCAATCTATTTATTGCAAAAGTTTTCTTTGACCCCTTCAATGAGTAACTGCCCCTGAAAGTTTATAAATTTTATAAAAAACTTAAAATTTTCAAAACGAGAAGTCGTAGAGACATGAATCCAACTGCATAAGTTTTATTGACCTTTGACCTTTAAATTCATTTCAAGGTCAAAGGTCAAGGTCATTCCAAATATGAGGAATAAATTTCTTTTAATAGCTCTTACATCCTTAAACATATACAATATATCTTCTGTCTGTGATATGCACTCTTAATACTCTTTCAAAGATTTCAGTCTTGTCCCCTAAGATTGACCCTTTTAAAAGTTATTGCCCCTTGTGCAAAAAACCTTGTTATCGCTACTCCTCGGAAACCATAGACCGTAGAGACACCAAATCTTCACTAATGTCTTAAAGATCTTTAGGCCTAACTTCATTGTATAAGTGCGAAAGGATCTGATGACCCCTTATGTGAATTATTGCCCCTTAACGTCTTTGTACTTGCTATTAAACCTTATAACTTGAAAAGTATAAGTCATAGAGGTATGGGGTCAATTGCATTGTGACCCTTGACCTTGAAAATTTTTATAAAAGGTCAAGGTCATTTCAATTTTTAAAAAAAATTCATTTTTTTAATTTTTCCTTTTAAGACAATTTTGTTTGCTTATTCATGGAATTTAATTTTAAGGAGTCAGATGAAATGAAATTAAACTTCAAAGTAGGTGGAAAGACCTCTTATTGTTCTTTGAACAATAAGTCTCCTAGTTATAATTATTATTATTTTTTCCCCTTTTCTTGTAAGACGGATTTCTCAAAGATGGCTGAGTGGATTTTCTTGAAATTTTCAGGGATGGTGCTGAATGAAAATACGCTTAGACTTTTTTTTCGTTTTTTCAAAATTCACTTCCGGTCGTCAGATTTGTCCGATTTCTGTTTTTTTCAGAAATATTTTGTCATAGTCATATCTCAGAAAGAAACAGTAAGAGATTAAGACACCAAACTTATAGGAGTAATAGATCTTGATAAGTAGGCAGGCCCATTTGGGTTAAGATCGTCTGCCGTCACTTCCGGTCGTCACAGGAAGTGATCAAAGAAATCGAAAATTTCAACTTTTCTTTATTGAAATTTTTTTTTGCATCATATTATAGCATCTTATTTGTAGTTTCGAAATATGTCAGTCCCATCGGAAACAAAAACGACAACTTCCGGTTATAAGAGAAAAACTGCATATTTTGAGTATTTTTCTTTCCCATAAA